AAAAAACCAACTTCGAAGAGCGATCTACTCTAAGATTTGAAGCAAGAGTGGGCGAAAATCCCACAGTCTAAAATTGACGAGATGATTCTCACGATGCCCCAAAGGATCAACGAACTCCACGAAGCGAAAGGAAGATCTACTGGATATTAATTAAATTATAAATATATCAATTCATGTGAATATGACTGTAAAATTTAATTTTTTCTGAAAAGGTGGTGTCTATTTACTTGTAACCACATTGTGTACATGCCTTCCAGTGGCACAGCGGCATGTCTACGGGCTTACAACGCTAGAAAACGGGTTTCGATATCCGCCGTGAGCAGAACACAGATAGCCCATTGTGTAGCTTTGTGCTTTACTTCAAACAAAGAAAACAAATATACATAAACGATATTGTTTTCGTGAACTACTAGAAATAGGATAGTCATTCTCCATACATATATTGTTACTATGTTATAATTAATTTTTCGAAAACATGTTGAAAAAACATTTATTCAAATATAATTTTGAAACGAAAAATTAATCATAACTCCCCGTCATATGACGGGGATTCAGCTTGTTATATATTTATACAGCTATTACATTTTATTAAAAGAGACCGTAAATATTTCATAACCAGGTGACGCTATTAGGTTATTAGCAGTGAAGCAGATTACTAAGGATGAACATTGTGAGTTTAGTTTTTTTTTTACATGTTAGTGTATATTGTTAAATTAATACCATTTATGTACGAATACTAAACTTAATATTGGTAAGTAATAAAATGAAGAGTTTAGAATAATGTTGGTTAACTGTATTTCATTTTCAGTACCAAATACTTAGTACATAGTTCTACTTAGCCCTGCGCTTAATTATTAATACCTGTGAAATGGAAGAATAAAATCGTCAGCAGTGTGTCCTATTTTCTGTTCAAATATCGTTATCAATATATTATCGGTATTCATCCTTCCTTTCCTTCAGCAAACTTATGTGTTTTGTGGGGAGGGGAGATTAATTTAATTAATTTAAATTAAGATTTTGGTGGCACAGAGGTTTATCACAGAAAACTGAGAAAGTTGTTGTGTCATTGATAAGTTAATTTTATTTTTTACTAGAGAGCATAGGCGCTTGGTTAACGTACCAGTAGTAGTACCAGGTTACTTATAGTACATTGTTGTGTCATTACACTGAGTGTAATTTATGAAATCAAGTAGTATTGTATTAATCTTCCTAAAAGTAAATCAAATGAATCTTTGACAAGCTTATGTTATACATAATAGTATCTACTGTTGTACATTAAAATGATTAAATAATGAAATCTAACTAAGGACTTATAATACACCTTTATCTTTTGTTTAGGAAATGAACTTTAAGATGAGAGAAGGATGAAGAGTTGGAAAGCTATTTTTTTAGGAGCAGTTATAGGAACATCATGTCTATATGTTTATAGTGCTGAAGATGAATTAACAAAAAGTAAGTAACACTGAAAATTTACTTTAAATCTTCTTTGTACATTGGTGTCTTATTGTTATTTTCTATAACATTTTATACCATTTATGTTCACTGGTAGGTTTACTTTTACAAATGTTTCAACAGATATTTCAAAACGAATTTACTCCTAACTCAGAAAGAAACTTACTTGCAGAATTTCCTCACTGAATAATTGATAAAAAAAAATAATTCTGACTGACTGGATCACTGTCTGGATCTAAACTAAACAACTTATTAACTTACTTGCCGAATTAAATAATAACTAAATATCACAATAATTTATAGATTTTCTAGTTTTCTGTGTAATAGAGCAGTGGTTCCCAAATTTTTTTCAGTTCCAATCCCATTTCAGATGTCCCAAATCTGTGTGACCCCATCTTTTGAAAATGTATTTCAACCAGCTCATCCAGCTTTTTTTTTTGCTTCATATGATTTTATTTTTGACAAACTTATGACCCCACCTAAGCTTGCTGCAATCCCAAGTTTGGAAAGCATTTTAGGGCAGGAATCTTCCAGATTCTACCAAAGCTTTAACTGTCTTGAAATTTCTAGGTATTGTGTTATCATGATAAGCTCTCTTTAGCAAATGAATATATAAATAAAATATAGCATACAACAATATATTACACTTTTAAGAAGTTGATAATTTAATGACTTTTGGCCCATTAAAATCACTCACTCATTCATTAAACCATCAACCAAGTTAGTATAATTTGTTAAATAGAAATTTTGCCTTACTACTCTGTTATCTTTCGTGGGAATGTTGCTTGTTACTTGGATTATGAAAGTTATGTACTTAGGTTTCCAAAAACCACACTGGTATCACATAGAAGATTAGATTTAAAAAAAAAGCACATTATTGAGGATTGGGAAAAGACTAGTTAATAGAATGGAAAGGTGAATGGATGAGAGAAATTAAAAAGTTGTTAATAATTAAGTCCAGTCAAACTGGATCATTGTTACTAGTGGTGTGTTTCAGGAGTCAGTATTTGGGCCTTTTCTTTTCCTGATTTATGTGAATTACATTGACAGAGACATAATTCAATAATGTTTGCATATGGTATTAAACTCTTGAGTATTTCTAGCTGTATTGATGATGTTGAAGTATTACAGAATGACTTGGATCAATTAGCAAATGTCTTTTAGTTATAATAATTACAAGTTAATGAATTTGAGTTTTCATAATTTGAACCACATATGAAAATCCATTCAGTAGCATGACTAAAGAAAGAGATCTTAATACAGTAGTAGGTAAATTAATCAAGCCATCAGTCAGTGTGCAGTTGCTAATAGTAAAGCTAACATAATTTTAGGATGCATTTTTTACATATTGATTCCAAATCAAAAGAGCTATCTATGTCTTTATACAGATCACTAGTTAGGCTTCATTTGGAGTATTGTCTACAGACAAGATATGGATTATTGGAAAATGTTAAAATGAAAGCTACTAAAATATTTCTGGAATGGAAGTGTTAGCATTTGGAGATAGATTAATATTTCTTAAAATATTTTGTCTTGAGAAAAGAATGATGAGAGTTAATATTATTGAAGTTTATAAGATTGTCTGGGAAATCTTTAGCATAAAGATCCCTGGTTTTTTTTCCTTAAGACAATAACATGATAAAACACAATTTTTAAAGTTTTGGTAGATACTTCAGATGGTTATAGTATTTTTTGATGTTTGATTAACAGAGATTCTTTTTAGAATCTGAGATTTTAAACAAAAAGTGTTTTTGAGAACAAGTAGAACAAGAATTGTTTTTCTTCAATTGATAGATGAACTTCCCTTTAATGATTATGATGATGTTGAAAAGACAAGGACATTTCAGGAGACGTATGTTTCTAATACAGACAAGACATTAAAATTAGGTAGTGTGGATAGTAGAGATGCCATTAGTGAAAGACTTCCTGAAAGAGAACAATCTGACATAGCCTTAAAAGAAACAATTGCTGTACAAGAAGAAAATGTAGATGAAGAGATGGTCAGCAATGAAGCACCTGGAAATGAAACTCAAACTAAGAATTCTACATCCACAAATGATTCTGATAGTAAAGTCACATGTGTTAAGAAAAAACTGGAAAATGATGAGGTAAGCTCACATAGTATCTAAAAATTAAAGTTTGTCCTAAATCCTGCTGTATTAATGATTGTCAGTGCAAGAGGGCATAATTATTATTGGTTGCTGATGTTTCTAAGATAATGGGTTCACAACATTAATGCCGACATTAGTGTCTTGTTAAGGTTAACCAGTAGCTTACATAATAATTTCTACCAATAACAGTTTCAGTATGGTGGGTGACTCTTATTTTACTGCTGTTAGTCAATACAAGTATGAACCAGTCATGACTTATTACCATTATAAAAGACTATTCCCATGACTATTTATTCATTGTGAGAAGACCAATAGATCTAAATCAGTTTTCCTGATGAAAATTTACTCTCTCTCTCTGTTTATGTTATTTGATATGTAAAAAGTTAATTTTGTTTTCACATGGCTTTGTTGTTTGCTAGTTGGAAGAGATGTATAAAGACAAACATTTCTATATAGTACACGGTTGCATGTGTATCAACTGGGAATTTTGTTGGTAAACACTAAGATTTTTGAATTTTCATTATTTATGATAACATAAAGTTCATATACACAATTAAAAGTGATTATCCCAGTTTTAACCAATAATACCAGTTTGAACTATTTGTTTTAGATTTATATCGTAACATGAAGCAAAAGTGATTTGACAGTGTTGATACACATCCTTTCCAATACAAAAATCACTATTTTTAGACTATAATATAAACTGATTGTATAAGATGGTCAGTACATCCAAAGATAAGACTAAAGGAGTAGATGGAATATTGTAGTATTTATACAGATAAGAATTTATTTACAGGAAATTAAAAAAAAAAGTTACCCAAACAAAAGTATTCAGAAGAACACTAGGAATATCTTTTGTGAAATTTGCCTAAAATGCTTATATTTCTCAACTTTTATTGTTGAGTGGTTACCATCTGTTAGATCTGTACTTGTTACATGTTATTGCTTTACGGACATACACTACATGCATTTGTCTTTTCACCTTGTCCATGTAAAGCTCAAGTAATGACAGTTTGGAACAGCTTCAGGAGGTGTCTTTCTGCAAGATTTGCAGTTTCAAGCAGAACAATTCGTTAATAAGATGCTTTCGGGCCGTAGTTTGCATTTTCAATTAGAGAAGTCCTTTAATTCAAGATCAAATGAACCTTTTGCCATCAAACATGCTCATGCTTTTTAGTAGTTGGCATGTTATAAAACTAATAGTCAACCCCACTAAAGGTTGTGGAACCAACTTATTTGGCTCATTCTTCAAAAACACTATACACAATTACATATACTGGAGGAAAACATCAGATCTTGATTAGTGCCAAAATAATAACTTAATATTATATAAAGTTAGTCACAAAATTATATTTTTACTACTTATTTCATTATGTTATATTTTCAAATGGTTTTAGAAATTGTACTGTTGATTTTATATATAAACCCTATATGCTTTGTTGTATGTTATACCTGAAGAAGACAGACCAGTGTTCTGTCAAAATATGTATGTTCTCTATATAAAATAATTTCATTGTGCTTATAACTCATTTTTCAATTTACTATTGTATTGGCACATTGTGCTACTGTACACAAGTATACTGTGTAACATTTTTACACAAACAAACCTATATACGTATATTTTTGTGATAAATTATGCTTGTCATTCATGCATAGTTTGAACCATACGCATTTGTGGCTGCATTTTTGTATTTCCAAATTCCTCAGCATACCTATATATGTATTATATTCTAAAGTATTTTGAGTCCCTGGTAGATTAATGACCCTATAACACACATTCAGTAGTACTTGCTGTTGAAACTGAGCAGATAGTGGTTTCTGAAGCTTTGTTTGAAAAACAAAACAAACTAAAGAACTAATTTGTAGGATTCTATCATGAATTTGAATAGACAAATATGACACAAGATATTTCTGAGGCAACATTATTGGGGAAGTACATATGTAGCCCTACTAATTTCCCAGCAGCAAGGACATTGTGTAGGTGTGCAATTTACTCAGCAGGCAGAACAATGATTATTTGCAACAAAGGGATAGGTACAACTTTGATTTGAAGTTCACTAAACAAGAAAACCTAAGTTATCATAAACTACTTCAAATTACAATACACCACTGAACCAATCTAATACCAGCATTATTCAAAGCAGTTGCTATACTGAGTTGCTGTTCAGTGGCTCAGCAATAAATATGAAGGCTAATAATGCTAAAAACTTAGTTTATATACCTGTGGTGATCACACCACAAATAGTCTGTTGTGTAGCTTTGTGCTTAATAATAACTAAATTATACTGAGTCACATAATCAGCTGAACTTCTGTCAGTAAACTTTGTCAGTTCAGATAGTGAATTATTAGTACCATTATAATATTACCTTTTGGCCACACTAAAATGTATGATAAGTACAGTTAAATACAAATAAAATGTTGAAATAGCTTACTTTCTTGCTATATATTCAGAAAAGGAAGCTTGTGTTATAATGCAGGATCATAGAGTGATCTCTGTTAGAATACATTATTACTACAAGTTTCTTCACAATTTTAGCTTTGAATGTAAAATTCATGCTGCTAGTTTGATTATAATAATTAATATTCAGCATAAAAAGAAAACAGATCCTGCAGAAGTAGTTACTTCAATACAAAAATGTATCTTTCTTCTGTTAGTTTCAGAACCTTTATGGTATTTGATTGTCCAATAAAATTGACTTTTTTTTTTAGTGTTATAGCATAGGAATAAACAATGGTGTATTATCTTGCAATATGTTTTATGTAGTTCATGGAAGAGAACCATGCACATACAACTGATTTGCCAAGTTGCTATGTGAATTATTTCAGAAAAATCTGACAGTTAAATATCAAAATTAGTAATTGTCACCTATACCTAAATTATATCATAGTTTTGTAAATATTTGTTGGACAGCTACCCTCAAGCAATTCCTGGATTCATAATGTGTAACACTACATGATTGGTTATATGTTATGTGCTTCTTTCTAGGAGCTGTGTTAAGCTAAAGCCCTAAACCTTCTCAATTTGTGGAACAGTTTCTAATGAAAACAGTAGTTTTTGAACTAAGAGCCTAGTTTTGAGTGAGAATGGGTTAAAATAAAAGGAACTTTCTTAGCAAGAAAACAAAAAGAATCAGCCAGGATGGAACTTTAAAATTTTGAATTATCCACACTGGTGAGGAAAATTGTACTGATATTGAAATTCCAGAAATGATGGATAACAGCCATATGACCTATGGTAATAGTGAATAGAATGCTGATATTAAAGTGTCAGAGAATGGTCATGTAACCAGTATTATTGAATGAAATAATTTCACTTAAACAAGGTAGGAAAAATAAAGCATTTATCAATCTATACATACGGTAGTGACAATGTAAAAATAGTTATGAATAGAAATTTTTCCACAGTGATACTGACTGAACAAGCAACCTTTCATACACATGCTTATTGTACTTATAAAACTATACTATTTATTCATCATGGCAGGGATCAAAATATTACATTCTTGCATTCCTGAGGAGTTTCATTTCTTTAGTTTGCCTTCCCGATCTGGAATGCAAAGACCATCCGTATTCCTTTAATTATGACCAATAAAAGTGAACATATTGCATGGGTTAAATAAAAAAAAAAAAAAATTACATGAGGAAATGCAACTTTACTGAGGGAATTTAATCTTCCTGATAACTTTCCCTCAAGTGTATGTAATTTTATTTCATTATTGCTATCCCTGGATGGAATAAAACAACTTCAATGTCTCAGTTCAATCAGTTTACTTTATTTTTCTTTGTCTACTGCTTTTGATTTTAGCATACTTCTATAATGATTTGTCTTGGTGGTGAAACCTTGATGTACTTGAATGAGGCTCCTTCCCTTGTTGCAGTGAATGATCCAGGATTAATGTTGCTAAGTGGATGTTGAATAGTTGACACCAGTCATTTTATAACAGAAGTGAGAAAACTGGCACTGCATTCTCAGAAATTCATGAAAGGAGTATTTTTACTGGAGTGGTCTAGAAAGTATATTTTATTTCAAATGTATATGTGTTTCGATGAAAAGTCATCCAGTTTGTAAAGTGATAGAAGTTTATAATGCTGCTTATTTATACTGAGGGGAGTTTTTGTTAATGCTGTAAATGAAAGACCTTAAAAGACAATGACAGATTTACAGTAGTATCATTGCTTGAATAATGCAAGCAGTTAAATGAAAGAATACGTGAGACATAATAATTGTTAATTATTCCAAAATATCCTGAAATTTATATTTTGAATGTGTATATTTATGTTCTGGTGATAGAATTATGTTTATTTTTCAGACACAGGAGTTTTCTTTGGAAGAACAAAAGAGATTAGTAGGCACCAAAGAGAGATGAAGGGTATTAGATGGTAATGTTGATTCTAATGGGATGACTTGGATAATTGTAATTTTATATGGAGGGGGAGTCAAAGAAATTATGGACACTGTGCAGTGGCTTCTGTTATAGACAAATAAATTTTTGTTTTCAGATATTAGAAACTAGCATTGATGTATTTGTACCACTGCTAATAGGCAACAAACATAAATAGATCATGTATATTATAAAAACTGGAATGGAACCAGATATCATAGTCGAAGGGTTTAGGAAAAGTGAAGCCATGCATTGCTTACATTTAAAAAAAAATGACCAGTGACAGAGATTTCAGCATATACAAGAAGATTATAAAAGGAGTTTCATATGGACATTATGTAGAAAACACTGAATGTGCAAAACATTCAGTTTGACACTTTTCACTCTTGTAAGAGAATTAAGTGAGTATGCTAGACTTCTGATGAAGGATAGGGTACTTCGACTGAAGTAATATGCTAGAGGAGCCATCAGGTACAATGCTGAACAAGATAATAGTGTTTCACATCTACAAAACGACTTGAGAAATTAACCCTATCATGCTTTTGGAGACCACAGGCAGTGTAAATCATACTTTTGCACAAATACAGTAAAAAAGAATTCTTTATTTGTCCAACATTGTAAATAAAGCAACAGAATGTGGTAAAAACTGGATGAGAAAAATGCTGTGAAAGGTAATGAGAACTTTATAGGAAACATTGTTGAGGACAGTGTTTTTTTTTTTGTGTGCATAAAGAAGTTGGTTATGTGGGTGTATCTCGTGGTAAGTTTGTCAAAAATGACACAATTTTAGAAATCAAATGTCCTAAGAGCACTGAATGTACAACTCCAACAGAAGCTTAAAAAACATGAGAATTTTTGCTGCACCATGAACACGAAGAATCAGTTATTCTTGAAGAAAAACCCTAATTTCTATTATCACATTTAAGGTCAGCTGAATATTACTGGACGGAATTTTACAATTTCCTGATATGGACAGATGAAGGCCTGAGCACAGAAACAAAATTACAAGAGGTGATGAATTTTTGGAAAGAAAAATATATGTAAAGGAGGCTTTGCTACCTGAAATTCTTGATTATCGTGTCCCTAGAAACATGGAAGTCAGAGAAGCTATATATGTAAACAAATCAAATAAATGAAAACACCTTCAGAATTTATGTTTTTTAGTAAACTTGCAATTCATTTGTTACATAACATCATTGCAGTATTACTTATCTACAGTTCATAAAATTCAATATTTATGTATGTTTTATTATACAACTCACAGAAAGTAGGGCTTTGGATTGAGGTTTGGAACTAGGTAGTTTTTTTCTATTGACACTAATAGTTCATTTTGTGGTTTTTTTATTATTATGATATACACTATAAAACATCTATTCTGGTAGACAAGAGAGAAGACAAAACAAAATACAATGTGATAGAAAATACAATAATCAAGGAAAATGATAGTTGGTCTGTATTTCAACTATGTGGTTTCAAACCATATCACATCAAATACAAAATGTCTTATAATGAGCTAGTTTTTCTTGGGTTTTCAACTTTTATCAAATAAACGAAAAATATAAATGTTTAGTATAATTTTCTAAATTTTTTCAAGGTTTATGCTTTTATTTCCTTTTTTTTATGTAATACACACACACTTCCCTTGTATGCATACAGAAATAAAGATCAGTTCTTACGTTTTCCTTTAAACATTTATTTTCTTTTCTAATCCAGTTTCGTAACCTCAGGGTTACTCTCTTTGGTTGTAAAAAATTAAACAACTCTCAACAAAGAATCACATCTCAAACTATGTTTAAAATCAAACACAAGTTACTAGAAGTCAGAAGTAAATATAAAATAATGAAACCATCAAATAAAAACAAGACTATAACTGTAATACTCATAAAAACATATTATCAACTAGTAAGTAATATAAAAAAAAAAACCATCACATAGAAGGAAAATTATAACTAATACTTATGAAAGGTTTTTTTATCATGAATCATATACTCACTAATAGGTTCCTATAAATAAATGTAAGGGTAAGACTGTGTTGAATTTGAATGACAAATATTTCTGTGATTATAATATATATACATATAAACATTGAAATTCTGTGATTTCTGCTTACACCAAATAGTATCTTTCAGAATTTTTATTGCAATAATACAGT